AAAACTAAGATCATGGTCACTGGTCCCATCACCTCCTGGGAAATTGAAGGGGAAAATATGGAGGCAGTGACAGATTTTACTTTCTTGGGCTGCATGATCACTGCAGATGGTGAAAGCAGCCCCAAAATTAAAAGCTGCCTGCTTCTTGGGAGGAAAGCAATGACCAACCTCAATAGCATCTTAAAAAGCAGAGACATCACCTTGCCAACAAAAGTCCGAATAGTCAAAGCTATGGTTTTCCCTGTGATGTATGGAAGTGAGAGCTGGACCATAAAGAAAGCTGACCACCGAAGAATTGATGCTTTTGAATTGTGGTGCTGGAGGAGGCTCTTGAGAGTCCCTTGGCCTGCAAGGAGAACAAACCTATCCATTCTAAAGGAAATCAAGCCTGAATGCTCACTGGAAGGACAGATCCTGAAGCTGAGGCTCCAATACTTTGGCCATCTCATGAGAAGAGAAGACTCCTTGGAAAATACTCTGATGTTGGGAAAATGTAAAGGCAGGAGAAGGGGACGACAGAGGATGAGATGGTTGGACAGTGTCATTGAAGTGACCAACATGAATTAACCCAACTCCGGGAGGCAGTGGAAGACAGGAGGGCTGGTGTGCTCTGGTCCATTGGGTCACGAAGAGTCAGACACGACTTAATGACTAAACAACAAAGACAACAACATTTCCTTAAAAAAGAGCAAGTGGAATGAGCTGGAACCAAGGAAAGAAAGTGATGTGGGGAGAGGAGGGGGAATAGTTCCCACAGGGAATGCTTTTGAATTTAAATCTGTAGTGCAGAAATATGACTGACATCTGCAAGGAACTGGGAAATAGAGAAGCATTAATGCTAATATCCTGCTCTTTAAATGGTTGAAGAAAAGTAATTTCATAATTTGAACCATTAGGAGAAAATTATAAAAAAGAGTTTGCAACAATACTAGTTGTTATGTGTTAAACAAATTATTTACGATTTCTAAAAAAAAGCCATGACCCCAAAAGTAATATATTAAAATTGCACACAGCATTAATCATTATTGGGGGAGAAATGCTGCTGCTGGTGTGGCACAATTAATATACCAAATTTTAAATTCATTGCTGAACATATTAACCAAAGGGGTTAAGAAATTAATTTTTCACAAATTATTTCCAAGTTCTTGAATATACCGTGTAGGAAACAAGGTTCCAAGCCCTGGTTCTTCCCTGTGTGGGGAGAGGAACAAAGGCTGAGTCTCTACTCGGCTTAATTATTACCTGCTGAGGCAAGAGCAGGCAAGCTATATGTATGTACGTGTGAGCATGTGAAAGTTGAGCATACCAGAATATACCAATCAGAGACACACATGGAGGCAGGATGCTAATGCCTAATCTGCAAAACCTGAAAAAAATGTAATGTGTGTATGCATGTAAGAGAGATTTTTAAAAATTCAAATACGCCTTCTGGGAAAACCTCACTGGCCTCTACATACAGACATGGAGACTCTCCATACACTAGAATTGCTGGAAACATTACTATATGCAGAATACTAGTTTGAATCTGTTCCTTGGCATTCATGCAAAATAGCTGACCTCAAAATTGTTATTACTACCTTTTATTATGAGCAGATATTCTCTCTGTAAGAAAGCCCAAGACGGAGTAAAACAGAGCTGCCCGGAATTATTGCTATTTGTTTGCTCTAGGTCACTGACTTCAGCGTACACACATGGACAACCTTGAAGTTCTGGTTCCCAAGGTGCTGTATCATTTCAACAACCTTTCTTTGAACCCTCACATCTTAATGCAAAACACATGTTGGTACCTTAAAAACAAAACTAACATCAGTTCATTCAGGGTTGAACAACACCAGCTGAATGCTGGAAAGTGAGCAGCACCACTGTATTCCTAACCAACTTTAAATACAAGAGGCATCAAAAAGCTTATTATCTAGTCAATTCTAGTTTTGTTGTTTTGCACGGACAGATTTTGTACCACATTTTAAGCACTTTATATTCCAGTTCTTTATCTGTTTTTATCACGCAAGATTTTATCATGGAAATGAGTGTTATCCCCATTTGATACATAAACTAAAAATATTATTTAAAAAGTTATATATATTTTTGGGATCTAAGTTTTAGGGACCTAGATACCGTTCCTTCCATTTTGTAACAAGAAAAAATAGTAAACCAATGAATTGTGAAAGGCAATGAATATCAAGTTCTAAATTGCAGGCAATAGAGAGGAAGAGATGTGTATGTGCCTTATCTGTGTACACATATGCCATCTTTGAACTTAAGTCTTAAAACAGAATTTTTGCAGCTAGAAAAGTTGTGGAACCAGAGCTTGAGAATGCAAGCTGTTGACACAGAGTGAAAAAATCATGTGGTTTTTTTTCACTGCCTCACAATATTTGAAAACATTTCGTATTTTTCAGCATTCTGTCAATTATACAAACTGATATATTTAGCTTTTCAACAGGATTTTTACTTAGAACCCACTGAACATTCATGTTAATTTCTGTGTTTCCTCAAAAATAAGACAGGGTGTTATATAATTTTTGCTCCAAAAAACGCATTAGGGCTTATTTTCAGGGGATGTTTTATTTTACAGTCATGTCATATTTTGGTTGCTGCACAATGCTGCACAAAGTTGGAGGGCGGGTTTCATTTTACTAGGGCTTATATTATGAGCATCCTGAAAAACCATACTAGGGCTTATTTTCAGGTTAGGTCTTATTTTCGGGGAAACTGTATCAGTGTACTGACCATGTACCATAAAAATTCCAAGTACCTGTTCATCCATTCTGTTGTCTAAGAATACTGATATTACTGTGCAAACTTTTATATAAAGCAGTCTTTTCCCAAGTCTTGATTCTGGGACCTCAGAAAAGGAACTGTCATGTCAGAGGAATTAACTCTTCTCTGTTAAGAGATAGTTGCAAGTATAACTCTTGCAACAGTAAACTAGCGTTATTGAAATCAATGACAATCACCTCTTCATGAATGTTTAGCGTTCAAAAGTGATATACCAATTCCAGAAGTGTTTTTTTTAAGGTTGTGATCTGAAGTTAATAACTCCTTATTAATCCATACCATTTCAAAAAGTAACTGTTTTAAAAAGTGGTCAACATGTTATCACATATTCAAGCTCCCACAACACCATAGAAATTAATGTAAACAATCGGTAGACATCCTGCTTTTAAAGACAATCAAACAAGAGGCAGAACCAAATATTAAGAATGAATAAAAATTAGTAGTAAACACTTCTTAAGAGTAAATACCACTTTGGCTTCTAAAGAGCTGGATTATTTTTAAGCTAAAGGGTTGCCCAGTTTATACACCTATTGTGCTGTTAACAGTTCAGATGAGGCTCTACTATTTTGCTAAATTCTGCACTTCTCCAGTGTCTTACCAGTATCATGTGGCCCGTGGAGATATCCATGTTGGACTGGACTGGTTCTTCACACCAGGATGACGTGCTGCTTCTAGCAGAAGGACTCGGAATGGGCCCATCACTGAACTGTGAGGAAATGCTATTAATACGAGAAGTATGTAGAGGTTCTGGATGATCTGATGATTTTGTTGACATACGCTGACGGCATAACTCCTAGGAGACACAAAGCAGAACAAGATTATAGTATAGAATTTAAACATCATTTCCAAAAACATGCACTGAACATACAGTGGGGTCTCGACTTACGAACTTAATCCGTATTGGAAGGCAGTTCTCAGGTCGAAAAGTTCTTAAGTCGAATCTGCATTTCCCATAGGAAAGCATTGAAAACCATTTAATCCGTATCTGCTCTTTTCGTCCATAGAAACTAATGGGAAGCTGCTATTCCGCCTTCTGCCACTAGAGGGGGATATTTTTCTTTTTTGCTTTTAACCTAAGATGACTTAGCTTTTAAAAAAAAGAAAAAAAGAGTTCGTAACTCGAATCTAAGTCTGTAAGTCGAGTCCATATATTCCTATGAGAGCGGTTCGTAAGTCGAAACGTTCGTATGTCGAGCCGTTCGTAAGTCGAGACCCCACTGATCCTAAATACAAAGATTGCCTCTGAAGGCACAACTTCCCAGAAGGAAAACAGGAATATCTGTGTTTTTCTGTATATAGTCGGTGTTCATAGCTACACCTGAGCGATAAGATGCATATAGAAATGCCATACCTTACTATAACCTACAGAAAACATAAGGCTTTCAGTTACACAGATTAGAGACACCAGTCATAAATCTCTATAAACTTCTTACCCTAGAATGATGATTTACAATACAGCTATTCTGGAATGCCAAAGAAACAGTATGGAAACAACTCACTCTTTTACGTTCATGGTATAAAGTATCATGTTATCTAAAGTAGCAAGTTTTAAGAACAGAGACAAGTTAAAACAGACTTTTGCCCAGAATACATACAAATGACAGACTAGAAAGCAGCCAAATAAACTGAATCTTAGCTGATTATGATTTTTTACAATTTAACTATAATGATGTGAATTATGACCCTATACTGTGATGCTTATCTGATAAGTAGTATGTATCACTAACAAATCAACAGAATTAGATTAACCCAAGAAAATTATTGGGGGAAAATGCAAGCAAAGCCAGAATGAAAGCAAACATAAACATTTCATCCTGTACCATTTTCAGATCAACTGAATTTATATGAGCCCAATGAGCTTTAGAAGACAGGCAATTATACTAAGCCAACAGCTGAATTAAAAGTGAAACCTTAAATAAATCATAACAAAAAACATTTATTTAAATTTATGGGTTTATATCTATTATAAAGAAAAAAAGCCCATGTGCTAAAATGCCACATTGTAACATATACTACTCCTATTAGTTATGCTGTAAACTGGTAGCATATTAATAAAGTGTTAAGTATTTATTATGTTCAACTTCAAGATTTAGTTACTTGCTTTAAACTAATAAAGACAATTTTTTAAAAGGCATGCTCAGTTGTTAACAAATGTGATCACTTTAACATTCTGTTCAACACAAAAACTCAGATATAAATGGGACTATTCTAACATACAAATAAAAAGCTTATTTAATTTCAAGATAATGTATTAATTGCACACTAAGTTAATTTATCTTAGCATCTGCTGAAATCAGTGAGATAACCTAGTTATAACTAAGTAAATCTTCTTGGTTTCAGTTGAAATGAAGTATTAATTTGGATCCATCTTGACAGAATTTAATGAAGCTTAGAACTTACAGTTATTGGTGAAGTAGCAACTAGTAGTCCAGGTATAAATGAGGTAAGGTAGTAAGAACCCAACCAGCGTCCCAAAGAAATATAAAATGGAAATATAAAGGTTGTCATTTTTAAACTCTTCCTTCTTTGCAACTTCAGTCCCTCAAGGTATGCCTTTTCAAATGGTTCACAGATCTACAGAAATAGTTTCTACACTCTGACATTCTAATTTCTTGCATTTAAAAATATATTTAGAAGAAAGATGAAATGAATATTGGTGACACGAATTCAATGAATGTTCATGAAGGGATGGAAAGTTATGGAGAGTGTTCTAGGCATGATCATAGTAGGCACAGTTGTACTCCCAAATTATTCTGTTGCAATTTAGATTGTATCAAGGAAAAGTGGGATTCCTCGGGATTCTGAACAAATATTTTATGCTGCACTCATCCAGTAAAAGTAATCCACTTTGACAAGTCTTCCGCTGTGTCCCAATAGGAGATTGGCTACGTATTGCCAGTCAGATTAGGTCCTGGCAAAATGTGTGTATTTTCCATAACTGTTGAGAAGGATGATTGCATTAGTTAAACTGGATATTGTGATTAGAGGTGAGCACTTTGTATTCGTATCTAAGGGATATGACTATGACCTGTGGGGGGGCCAATTCCCTCCCCCAGAACCGGCTGGGCCACTCACCAGACCTTGTGTGGCATTAGGGTCCTTCAGAGGTGGCAGCGGGACAAATCCAGGAGGAGCCTGGCTGATCCTTTCTCATCTCCCTGTGCAGCCAACCACTTGGGCGCAGAGGCAGGACAGGGAGTTTCCCCACTCTGCCAATGAGTGGTTAGCTGCACTGGGAGATGGAGAAGGGCTGGCTGGGCTCCTGCCAGAATTGGTAAGCCAACAACGATGAAGAACCTCAGCCCTGCAAGGAGCCCAGTGAGTGGCCCCGGCCAGTTCTGGGGGAGGGAGATGGGCCCGCACAGTATCTGAAGTGCCATGAATCATATTCGTATCCCTGACATACGAAAACTCCCAGAAGTACAAGCTGGATTCCGAAGGGGCAGAGGAACTAAAGACCAAATTGCTAACATGCTCTGGATTATGGAGAAAGCCAGAGAGTTCTAGAAAAACATCTACTTCTGCTTCATTGACTATGCAAAAGCCTTTGACTGTGTGGACCATAACAAACTATGGCAAGTCCTTAAAGAAATGGGAGTGCCTGACCACCTTATCTATCTCCTGAGAAACCTATACGTGGGACAGGAAGCAACAGTTAGAACTGGATATGGAACAACTGATTGGTTCAAAATTGGGAAAGGAGTACGACAAGGCTGTATATTGTCTCCCTGCTTATTTAACTTATATGCAGAGTACATCATGAGGAAGGCTGGACTGGAGGAATCCCAAGTTGGAATTAAGATTGCCGGAAGAAATATCAACAACCTCCGATATGCAGATGATACCACTCTGATGGCAGAAAGTGAGGAGGAATTAAGGAACCTTGTAATGAGGGTGAAAGAGGAGAGTGCAAAAAACGGTCTGAAGCTCAACATAAAAAAAACTAAGATCATGGCCACTGGTCCCATCACCTCCTGGCCTGGCAAATAGAAGTGGAAGATATGGAGGCAGTGACAGATTTTATTTTCTTGGGCTCCATGATCACTGCAGATGGAGACAGCAGCCACGAAATTAAAAGACACCTGCTTCTTGGGAGGAAAGCAATGACAAACCTTGACAGCATCCTAAAAAGCAGAGACATCACCTTGCAAACAAAAGTCTGAATAGTCAAAGCTACAGAATTGATGCTTTTGAATTGTGGTGCTGGAGGAGGCTCTTGAGAGTCCCCTGGACTGCAAGAATAGTTTTTCCTGAAGAAATATAAAATTATACTCCTCCAGCAGATGGACCGAAGGTTTACATTTGCACAAGGCTTGGGGAAGATAACATGTATACAACATAAAATTTGAGTTTTAGGTCATGTCAGTTCCTTACTTAAGAGTTAACCAACGAACGCAAAATAGCAGCTCCTGTGTCATATATAATTGCTTTGTACATCCAAGCCCTCTTCAAACCAAAACTAGTTAGCTGTGTACATAATATGAAGGGTAACAAGACTGTATTAAGGGTGGAACAAAAACAGGCACACGTCATTTTTAAAGGAATGCTTAACATAACGTTTATTCTACCTTCCCTGTTATTTAACTGAAATAAAAGGGAGATATACCATCTTACTTCAAGCTCAGTCCTTTCTGCTTTACCTTCTGCTACAGGACAATTAGAGTGTCAGATAGTAACAGATAAATGCTACACCTTGTACTCTGGGAGAGGGGCAATGCAAAGAGGTCTTATTAACGCTTCTGGGTAGGAAATTTTTTATACCAGCACTGGACAGAAAACTTTTTGTTCCAATACCAGCAATTCACCATCTAGTCATATATACTTTGACATCAGACACTGGCACTTGGGACTTACAGTGCAATCCTATATGTGTCTGCTTAGAAGAAAGTCCCACTGTGCTCAATTGGGTTTATTCCCAAATAAGTGGGTATAATAACACAGCTTTCATATTTGTTTAAAATTTCATACCAAACATGCTCCAATGGGCACATTTGCTGTGCGTGCCAATACTTCCCAATAATTCAATTCTGTTTGCAATATCAGTGCTTAATTTAATTCAAATCAATGTGCATTAAAAGAGTAAACTGTGGAATCAGGCAGGGATACAACCTGAGGTGATAAATCATGTTACAACCAATATCCATCTAACACTTAGTCACCTTAATTATTAGAAGTGCGCCCTACCAGGGATCCTAGATCTGACAAGCCAGCAAACTCAAGGATTTTTCTTTATTTGATTTATATCCTGCCTTTCTCTCAAACCTGGGAGTCAAGGTGGGGTCTCAACAGTCTTCATCTACTAAATTTGCAAGCTATGTTTTGGCTCCACTGCTGAACAAAGAGGTTCTGAAGAGATTCTCTCTCTCATATTTCCAGATCTATCTGGCACTAAAGGAAGACAACTACGTTTTCAACCAGACGTTGGCAACGATACTCATAATCAGTGAATTTCCAATTCTCATTGCTGCTACCTCAATTTTAAATACATTACTGGGAGAATCTCATACCATATCAATAGTGGACTGAAACTACAGTCTCTAGAATAAATGTAAGATTAGACCATAAAGCTATCAACCACCTTATGCCCTGGATTAATGACTAAGACAGCTGAAGATCTTTCATGTGCTTTTTGCCCTGGCTTTGTTTCTAGTCAGCTAAAATACAATGTGAATCCACTCTAAACACCCCTGATTGGCAATATAAATTTCACTATATTCCAGTGTTCAATCTCTAAGTGCTTAAAGTACAAATAGTCCTTTTCCAAATCTGCCTTTAAATGAAACAGGCATTGCA